TATAAATTTAACCTGTTATGAAAAACATTCCTAGATTTTGATTTACTTTAAACTTCAAATAGTACAAACGGGAGCAACTGATTGTTTCTTTACTTGTATATATTTGTAACTACATGGAAAAAGATTTATCAAAACATTTTGTCAATAAGATAAGGACGTTATAATTGTGGTGGGCTTGGAAAGGTATTTAACAACGTTGCATTTCCTCAAAACCTGATTTTTCAAACCAGTATTCGTAGCTGATGTAATTTTTCACGGTCATAAGGATCACTTTGAAAGAACAGCTGTATACAGGCGAGGTGACCTTCAGGCACTAACTTACTGATCTCTTTCTCTCCTCAGCCTTTGAGCAATCTTTATAAATGTAAATTTATACTAATATTATGATGTATTCTGAGAAACAATTACGTAGTTTAACGCAAAGAAAATAGAAAGCAAAGCACGACCTTAATGCTGACTGTTATTTAAAAAACAGAACGTATATTTGGGCTGCTTTTATTATACTAACATTACGTTATTACAATTAATAATAAAAGTAACGCTAGGAACATTAATTAGAAGCATTAGGGCAAGGCAAAGCTCCATCTCATCAGCACGAGTTCTTGTATTTTCCCGCTCGCCGCATCGCATACTGCTTTTTTTTTTAGTACGTGATCAAACACGGTACCGCGCTGTCTGTAGTTCCGTAGCTAAGGCTGTACGGTTCACCTGTCCATTTTTATTTTGAAGGGGTGTGGCTTATGATTGTTTTTTCTCGTCTTTTTTTCGGTGGAGGCGTCAGAAAGGTACAGCGTCACATGGCGGAATGCGTCTGTGCGCAGGTTGGAATACCAGGATGGCCTGCCTGTTCGAGCTAAGGTAGATGCCGCTAGAGGATAGGAGGTCCCGACTGACGTAAAGTAGCCGGGGGGGGGGGGGTATTCTCTGTAGATAGCGCGGGCTTTTTCTCTCTTTCCATACAAACACATGATGCTACTAGGTTGCCTCCTGCCAACTGTAGCCCGTCCATAAATTATGCCACACGTAATATTTGTGTAACGGGGATTTGGATATTAATTGCTTCTTTCTAACCCTTACAACTAACCCTTATCCTCTTCCGGTGAAAGATTCATCTTTTTTAAACGAATATTTTAGTTTGAATCAGCTTAAAACTATGGAGGGAGCATAATACTGAAAATGTTTGACCGTTTTCTTTGGTTCTTTCTCTATTTATCTACACTTGATGGAAGATTTATAATGACTCGAACTATTGGTACGCAGAGTCTAGAAAAATGCTTGCTTATTTTTAAAATGGCACTATTAAATTGTTACAGGCAGAGTTATTGGTCTAGCGGTTAGAACGCTGGCCTTGTAATCCTGGGGTCTCGGGTTCGATTCCCGGCGGTGCCCGAATTTATAACTTGTGTTGGGCAAGGCCGTGGTCTAGGCAACACGGAGTTTTCCTCCGGGGGCTTCCCCGGTTTCTCCGTGGCATCCCATTCACACACAGAAGAAGGCAATGGCAAACCACTTCTGGATCATCTGCCAAGAACGTATATGAACAGGTCCCAGTCCGAGAAAAGGATGGAAGGATCCTGTTCATATGGACCTGTCGTCAGACAGAACACTAGATAAATAAAAATACTACTGGGATACTAGGAACGACCCGTTCTTCAAGTACCTCAACACTGCATATACTATATAAAGTATATATATATATATAAGACTGAAATTTCTCCTCGTAGGGAACACACAGGCTTGTTCAAAGTATGTATAGATAAAAATATAGAGCTTAAATAAATATTCATGTTATAAAATATAGAACATGCTTGTTGAATTTGATCTTCTGGGTTGTAACGTCTTGTGGAATTGTGAAGGTAGATGTCAACGTTTCCGATTAACATGCTGTCTTCATTGAAATCGTCATCATTGTAATATCCTAAAATGTCATTCAGCTATTTTTATTTACATGTATTTGGGTTTCAACAACATATACTTTGCTTTGTAATTAATATTGATATAACCTATAAGATAACAGGTTCAAACAGCAAACATAGCATCTTAAGGGTTGGATCATTCTGATTTCTTGATATCCAATGCTGATATCTAAATAATGTCTTCATATTCGCATATCAAAAAATAAAAAAAATATTTTTCTCCATTAACACAAGATGATGAAATAATTACGCATCTATTATTAAATTCAATCTCCTAATCCTTACCAAAGTAACCGAAGGTAATGTGATGTCTTAAAAATATTAAATTATCTCACGTTCGATCAATGGATACTACAAGACTTGCCAATGTATATAGTCTTCTCTTAATCACTGATTATATTTACTAGTGACTATCAGTTTCAATAAATGTAGCATTAATTTTATTTTTATTTTATGTCGGATCTAGTTAATAAAATAAATTTGGTTTTTACCATCTTTTAACCACTAGCCTGTGGACCAAATATAATGTATATTATTATCAGACAGTAATAAAACGTTACTTAATGGATATCAAAATGTTTGGCACAGGGCCTACATAGAATCAAAACATTGTCATTTCGAATTTTTTACGAAATATTTTAATATAATGAATAACTTAACATCGTGTACATTTCTTATATTTTAGAACTGTATTAAATTGGAATATGAAGTAGTTAAATACTTAATTTTTGTTCTGTAATAGTTGGATACAGTTTTAAAACATTTATACCCTTAAATATAACCTGTAAAATCTTTTCTAAATTAGTAAATTAATAAAAGCCTTTCATATTATATTTCCAAAGAAACAGCAGTTTTCTGTGTTATAATCATAATAATGTTTGAGAGAAGACAATTTACCGTGTTTTTGAAATTTAATATACCAGTATTTTCTTCACATTTATAATTTGCAAAAACTGGAAATTTTCTTAATACATAACCTTACAGTTTTATACGCAAAATATTCGGAAATCAAAAGAAGATAAGGGCCTTTTCTTAAAGCAGGATTAATTACCAGTATCATATTATAATGTCATGTCATGTTATGAATTGTTTATAGTTAAAAATTGAATCAAACATATCAGAATTTCTCGTGACATTAACATAATATTTTACATTAGAACTAAAATGTACCAATTAAGAGGTACGTTTTGAACGTTTTAACTTGTCCTTTTCTATTAGCTGATTAAAATATGTGATTATGTTGTTTTTGTTTTCTTCACGATTCCCTTGTTTTTTTTATTTTTAAACTTTGTACCTTCTTAATTGAAGTCATATCCCTCCCATTTTTAAGTATCAAAAAATTGGTTCATGTGGCCTTCAAGATATCTTTTGGTATATATTCACCACATGTTTTGAAATGACAGAGACCATCGGACAGAAAAGTTGTTAGTAATCCCTTGAATGTGTATGTACAAATTTTCTACGTCACAGATAATAAGCAAAGGTTTCAGATAATGTGTACAGAGATGATTTTTTTCTGAGATGTTACACCGTGCAGTTAGGTAAATATTTCCGATTTATTAGAGGAGCTTACTGCCTCCATTATCAAGGTGATCTCTGCCTTATAGTAATCTCCTCTGAAACGTCGGTCAGTATCTACCAGACTAAGCTGTACAATATCCCATCTTGATATCCGGCTTATGTGGATTGGTTTTCGTACCAATTTACCATTAAACTACGATGTCTAAACTCGGTTTTATGTTCGTGAAATTAGCACTGCACAGATAATCTAAAATCAAATATCTTGTGTGCTTTATTATATACTTATTGTAATTGATAATTAGGAAGAAAGTAATGCAGAACTCTTCAGTATCGGCACTACCCCACCCCTTCCTCTACTAAATGATACAGAATAATAATTTTACAGCACAACCTGCAGATAAAAGTTGTTGAAACAAAGCAGAGTAGCCTGTAGACTTAAATCCGTTTTTACTCGATATTCCTTAGAAACGACAATGTATAAACATTAATGGCGGTGGTCCATCAATCGAATGTAATGGAAGTAACTAAATATTTATTTAACAAGCTAATGAAATAGAATAGCGTGGTAAACTTGCAGAGTTACATTGTGTTCTGAATCCACAGGTAGTCTTCATTTAATTATGGTAGGGGGTAGAGATGAAATTCCGTTCTTATAAACCTCGAAGCAGATAAAACATAGCTATTTTCTAGTGTAGTGAATTATAAAAAAAATCACGTTATTTTAAGATCGTGGTTAAACGATACAATTTTTTTAACTAAGTGGGGAAAAGTTAAAGAAGCTGAAAGAAATCGCGTGATGAATAACTGCATGATTTTTATTCATCAACTAGTATTATTAGGGTACCTAAGCAATGGCTAAGCATGTAGAACGCATTATAGAGGAGAGAAATATGTATATGAAGTTTTGTCGGAACACATTATTTCCCCATTCGTACTATATGCCCTGCCCAACCCGTCATCTGGATCAGAATAGGGACAATTGGCTTTTGACACAGTAATGAACCTTCTAGTTCCATAAATGCACGTAAATTATTGACTAGTTTACAGACTATCAGCTTCTCATAAAGGTTTATGCTCAATGCAGTTAGTTAGGCCTAATGACGTTGGTCCAAACTGGAAGAAATCGTTACAGAATTACGAATAAGTAGTTGGCAACAAACATCATTTTAAGCGAATTACAAATTTAGTTCATCACGTGATAATTCGGGATGAATTAATTTTCACACCTGCTAAGTTTCCTCGTACAGATGGCACTATGTGTATACACAATTTATCTCTACATATGCCTTTCTTGATGCAATGAAATGTATAAAACAACTAAATAAATATTTTGACTGTATCTACTCCGTACATTTATCGCGTTCATATTTAACCTCTGTCTGGTTCAGCCATTACCACGTCCGCTAATTGAATATCAATGGCGATCTATATATACATAACTGTTTGTTGCACAGTAGCAATACGTAATCATACCAGAGACTGGCTACCCAATGACAAGTTGTGTATTATACCTGAGTTGGTACAAATCACGATCTGCTAATGTACAATGTATTCGTGTTGTAGGTGAATACGTACTGTTCTGCATACGTAAGGAAGTACACAGCTGGTCTACCGTCGGTCGGTAAGTAGTTATTCTTATCTTTCTGCATAAATTGTGTTAACACACTGCATATTGTAGAAATTTCAGATTTTATGAGTTCCTTTGCAGTTCTAGTATTTTTGCGAAGTTATTTATCTGAGTTGTAATTTCATGCGATTTTATTGGTAAACTCCGATGTTTCGGAGGTCACAGTGTCTACAACTTCAGGGCTAAACGTTTGTATCTACCTATAAGTCCACACAGCGTTGAAACTCAGAACATCAACATTGACATATTGCCTTGTTATGAACTCCAAATGTCATCTAGCGTGTCTTGACTATTACACTTTTATTGAAGACGTTTTAAATAAACATTTTATTATTTTACGTGTCACAAAATTATAAATGTGTTAATTTAGCAATTTTACAACTCTTAATATCTTGTTCCTTTGTGTGTACGATAATTATTTACACAAGTATTGAGCGTCTAAGCTTGAACAGTTATAGCACAGAATTGAATATATTATTTTAGCTTAACATAGTGGTTCGTCTTTACCACTTTTCATAAACCACTAACAAAACACTGAGTTGTGGCTTCATATTCCACTTGTAAATATATTCAGAGTAGAAATATGTTTTATTTTATAACAACGTATCTCTGATCTACACTGTGATAAAGTATAATCAATCAAATGCTAAAAATTATTTGCACTAACTAAATTACTTGGTTAATTTATTTAGAATTTAGACATACGCGCATTAGTATTAATACTTTAGGTGGTTTCAATGACTGCCCCTGATTTTGAAGGTAGTGCTTTTTCCAGGTTTGTTTTACTGCTAGTAATTCAATTTATCCTTGAGAGCCGTTTTTCCACCACTAAAATCTTATCACCACTAGTGTGCTCTGTTGAGACCACCAATCATAGTATTGCTGCCTGGATCGTCAGTTGAACGACGTCTCACACCCGGTTGTTCCTTATCTTGTAAGAGCCAGCACGTTTTCTTGTTCATACGCAAGATTTCCAAAAGTACAAGTGAAGTTTTGCCTATTCAGAAAATGACAATTTTGAAATAATAGTTGGCCACATTTATCATCATAAAAATTCCTTTGCTTACACTACAATTTAAATACGTATGTTTCGAAATAAAATTTCTTTGATAAAACTAAATTTTTTAAAATGATAGTATTAATTATGTACTTTATGTTTCGAAGACGTTTATCTAATTTTAGTTTAAATAAATTTATTTAAATTAGAGATTGTTGTTTTCTATTAGATTGTATGTAAACATTTATTAATTGTGCAGACCGTTAGATTTAATGCTGTTCAGTTAGCCTAAATAATGGGAACAAATTGATTATTAGCGTATTAAACTTAGCGCTAATGAAACGTATATTTATTAAGGAGTTAATTAAGCATGCGGCTTCTGTGATTAGGGCAAATTACTGATTTTCTAAAATAAAATACAGTGGTACTAATTAAGGTAGAGACAAATTCTAGAAAGAATCCTAGCATGTCAGATGTATATTCATATTTAATATTTTAATCGTAATTATAAACTCCAGTTGCATGAATCAATATGATATATTGTATAAATATAATAAATTATTCTTTCTCTGCACAGGAAGAAACATTAGCTTCCAGCCTTAGAGTGTCTATCTTGTAGTTAATGGAAACTGTTTAACAGTACGTTGACCTATCGACGCGTATTTAAAAGTGTTTAACAATAATTGTATGAGTAACGCAAAATATTTCTAGTGTCAAGCATTTATTTATTTTACTGTAACAGGAATGGCATAAAACAAAATATACTATTGCATATTTCACTGACGAAAGAGGAGATGTCAATGTACTTCAGTCTTCTCCCACATCTTAACCACAATTTTTAATTGTAATGGTTAAATTCGAAAATATAGAGAACAATCTTGAAGCAGAGAACGTCAGCTTCCCAAACTAAAAGTCAGAATTAAGACTCTAGAATTTTTAATAAATTTCCAGAAAAGTGCAAAATGTTATAGTTTATAATAAATAAATGAAAAAATGCACAGTGAATCAGTGGAAGGACTGGCCAATTCAATGACGTGAAATAGCTGAAGCTTGTGAAAAGAAATGTCTTCGACGTTTCAAACAGCAGCATCGATATCCTCACCGCCGCGAGAACTTCATATCTCACAAAAAATAACATGCCTGGTACATGTACGCTAAAACTGTGTGAATCCTTCTGCAACATTTTTGAGATGTGACATATATAATCGCACCTGCTACTTACAGAGTTTTATTATTTTATTTTATTTTATTTATCGTATTATTTATTTTATTTATTTTTTAACCAAGAAGCTTCTGTCTAAACACGAAAGATATTAGCACAGACGTTGAAATAACGAGAGCAAATATTTGACAATAAAAATGTAATATAGCAACAAAATAATTCTCCTGTCCACTGACGGCTAAGGCACATGTTTACACTATAAGAAAATGTTGTATATATGTGTGTCAAGTATCTTAGCGTTTCACATGGTTACAAAATGAATCCGAGATAAAATTTATATGCTAAATTTTTTCAGAAGTCTTTTAAATGTCGACTATATAACATTCATAAAAATTCAAAATGCTTACCTGTAAGTCAACTTTTAGATCTTAGGCAAAGACAGCTTTATTCAGTCTGATGTTGGTAACAGGTGTCCAAAGACGGAATTCCTGAAAGAGTAAAATATTTTCAGTCACATTTTGGTGAATTAAATATGAAGTACCACATTTAACAATTTTTCAGTAGAATTTCTCTTCCACTGATGTTTTATTCGCATTGTTTTAATTTTTACGTAGTATGAAATTGGTAATTGGTGTGATATATTTAGGTGAAAAATACGTTTGTCGAAAAGAATATAATTTGAAGCGAAAATTAATCTATTTATGAATGAGCATATGCTTATTTGAAAATAAATAGAAAATCTTATTCAAATTCCTGACTAATTATGGTCAATTAGGTAAGAAATTACTGTGACAGACAGGCCTTTTAAATTAATTACACATTTTAACTTAGAGCAAATAATTGTTAACATTATAGACACTGACATGTTAGGTTCTTACGTCTGTGTTGATATGTACTTGGGTCTTATAGGTTTTAACGCCAGGTGGATATTTATGTAGATACTAACATATGCTTCTTTTCCTCCGAAAAGTCGGCACAACCTTACAAGTTGATACGTCGTTACAATCCAGAAGACCAATATCAAAATATTTATTCTTCGGTGTGTTCTACAGCTTGGGGTTTATCTCTTCATGTCATTTATTCCTACTGGAAAATAAAACTTTAAATTGATGCCCTACGAATTTACATTACTAAAAAGTGACTCCGATTAAATACAATACAATAAACATTGGGGAAACGTTGTTTTATAGTCTCGTATATTTCTGTAAAGAATTTCCTTAATAATAGTTACAGCCTTTTAAAATTAATTTGTAATATATATAAAGTAAAGTAAAGTTTGTCCCACTATACGCCATGTAGGCGTTTGGGGTGAGTGGAGGTATAGCTCCTCTCTTCCTTGACCTCGGCACTATATGGGGGTGAGTGGTCAGCATCACGCCCCGGCCGGCTTTACCCCCGGGAAAGGACCCCGGTACCCATTGTAGAGGAGGCTGGGTGGGCCCCAGAGCCGGTCTGGACGCAGAGGCTAGTTGTAATATATATATAAGAAAGTATTGTTAACTGTGTTTCGTGAGTAATATGTCTGTCACAAATAAGAGTGACAGAAAGTAAGAGTAGAAATAAAAGTTGAAGGCATTTGTGATTCCTTTGCAGAGATAAGTGGAGGGTGTCTTGTACGCAAAATTAAATTAATAAAACATTCTTATATTATTTACGTATTCTAGCTGGAGTGTTTTCTAGTTTGTGACTTGTAATTGTCACTCCAAAACGAACAACTTTCTTTTTAATGCAGCTCTTCTGTCATTATTATTCGAGATACAGAAATAATCTTCAATGGTAATAGAAGCCAGGGTATCGATATATTGTCCTGGACTTCGTTTCTGCAATGTCTTCTTCGAAGCAAACTATTTGGTATAGGCTGCATTCTTC